CTTTTCTCCAGCACCACAGTTCAAAGGCATCAATTCTCTCCCTATCACCCCTACTCACTGTCCAGCACTCTGATGCATAGCACGCAACTGCAAAGACTATGGCCTGAATCAGGCGCACCTTAATTTCCAGCCTGACATCGTTGCTCTTCATTACTCTGGAGAGGTCCCTCACAGCTGACTTTCCCAGTGTAATTCGTCTCTTGATTTCCTGGCTGCTGGTACCAAGAGTGTTGATTGTGGAACCAAATAAATGAAAACTGTTAACAATCTCAATCTCTTCACCATCCATAATGCTGATGCCAATTGACCCAGTGGTGAGAATCTTTGTTTTCTTGATGTTGAGCTTCAATCCATATTGAAGGCTGAAGTCCTTGACCTTCTGCAGTAAGCGCTTCAGGCCCTCCTCAGTTTGAGCAAGCAGGGTTGTCCATATTGCAGGTTGCTGATGAATCTTCCTCCAGTCCTGATGCCACATTCCTCCTCATACAGCCCAGTGTACCTTATGATCTGTTTTGCATAAAGATTGAAAAGATATGGAAACAATACATCCCTGGCAGACACTCTTCCCACTTTTGAAATATGCACTGTCTCCTTGCTCTGTTTTGACAACTGCCTCTTGGTTCAAGTATAGGTTTTGTATAAGCACAATCATATGTTCTGGGATTCTCATTCTTCTCAGAGTCAACTGCAGTTTGCTGTGATCCACACAGTCAGAAGCTTTTGCATAGTCAGTGAAGCACAGATAGACATTCCTCTGGTACTCTCTGCTTTCTGCCAAGATCCATCTTCTAAACCCAGCCTGCAAATCTGGCAGTTTTCTGTTGACGTGTTGTTCCAGTCATTTTTTTATAATCTTCAGCAGAATCTTGTTGCATGTGATATTAATGATACTTTTCGATAATTTCTACACTCTGTCAGGTCACCTTTCTTTGGAATGGGAACAAATATCAATCTCTTCCAGTCAGTTGGCCAGGTAGCTAGCTGTCCTCCAGATTTCTTGGCACAACTCAGTGAGCACATCCAGGGCAGCATCTGATTGTCAAAATACGTCAATTGGTGTGCTGTCAACTCCTGGAGCTTTGTTTTTTTGCCAATTCTTTCAGAGCAGCTTGAACTTCCTCCATCACCACAGGCTCTTGCTCATTGTTGTTTCATTAAATT